ATGCTGGGCCCTTTCAGGGGCAATTCTTCCTGGTTGTTGTTGATAGCCATTCCAAGTGGCTAGAGGTTGTTCCTGTTTCCTCCACTACTACTGCCAGGACCATCCAGGTGTTGAGAGGAATTTTTGCATCACACGGTCTTCCAGATGTTCTGGTTTCAGATAATGGCCCTCAATTTACCTCTTCTGAGTTCCAGGCTTTTCTTCAGGCCAACCTGATCCGGCATGCAACATTGGCTCCCTTCCATCCATCCTCCAACAGACTGGCAGAGAGAATGGTGCACACCACCAAAGATGCCCTCAAGAAACTGACTTACGGTAACTGGCATCACAGGTTAGCAGATTTCCTTCTTGCACACCGCACCACACCATGCACAGCCACAGGGAAGAGCCTTGCTGAACTCCGCTGGGGTCGCCGCCTCATCACTAAACTGGACAGGCTGCACCCTGACCGGGTGGCTTCACAGGTGTGGGCACCTAGGAGACTCCAGGTGGGCGATCCGGTTTGGGCAAGAAACTATGGGCCTGGACATCTCTGGGTCACAGCTGTGGTCTGCAAGGTCTCTGGGCTGTTGTCATACGAAGTTGCATTGGGGGACAGCCGCGTTCTTCGCAGACACATACACCAACTGCGTTGTAGACTGGACTCCCACCCTTCCACTCCTGGCTCTGCTCTGGGGGGGGGGAGGACTATAATATGCATTCTGGATCACAGTTTCCCAGGCCTAACAGGCCCTCACTAGCTGTTACTGAGGCTGTTTGGGATTCATCCAAGGTTCCACAAGTGCTCCAAACAGGAATTCACTAGATAGGGGGTCATCCCACACATCCGTAATTACTCCAGACAGGGAGTCACACCGGGGGTATCCACAGTATTCACATATGTCAGATAGTGCTCCAGACAGGGAGACTGACCGGGGGTATCCACACAAATCACGAGCAGTAAGAGAAAAGGAATTCCATCAAGGGTGCTTGCCTAATTCCGCAACTGCTCCCAAAAAGAAGTCACCAGCAAAGGGGGTTGCCATGGAGGCAACTCCTGACTCTGGCACCTTTAGCACATGCTTGGGGGCCACAGAGTACTGGGGCACTTTCGCTACCCAGCCCTCTCTGTCTGCTGGCCTTGGGCTCGAGGGACAGTGTTCCCAAAAGGGGTCCATTGTGGACTCGGGGACTTCCACTCCTCCAAGGTATACTGGCTTGGACTTAGAGGGTCCAGCCAGCCAGCAGCGGGGCAGGTCAACCAGGTATTCAGGGCAGCAAAGTCCTGGCCTGCCTAGCCTGGTAGGCGAGCAGGTAGTCCAGGCACCCTCACCAGGGTCACCTGGGGATTTAGGGCAGCAACGCCTAGTAGGTAGCCTGGTAGGTGAGCAGGTGGGCCAGACAATCTCTCCGGGCCTTAGAAGGTCACAGAGAGCCAAGTGCCCACCCAAACATCTGAGAGACTTTGTGAGGTTGCTGTCAAATCATGAGGGACCTGTTCATGAGGCCCCTGAATAACGGGAGTAACTCGTGGGTAGATTATTTTGTATTATTTTTGATTTTGGATACATGTATTGTATTAATAAATATTGAAGGGGGTTTGCCTGAGGGCAGACTCAAGTATTCCACACTCTTTGCATTTGAATAATGCAACTGTATGCCACTCTTCCCAATGCATGATGTACATGTGTGTACGCAAAGTATGTTCCATCTAAGGGGAAGGGGTGTTGTGTCCTGAGCCTGCAAAAGCAGGCTCGGGACATTGCATTGGTCCCGGGCATTCCAAAAGCTGCCCGGGACCAGACAGAGCGGCGCCGGCCTTGGGCGCATGCACAAGGTGAGAAAACGCTCTGTTCTTATTGGTTGTCACTGTCTGGGCTTCTGGTCATATAAAAAGGCCTGCATGCCTTTTGATTTCGCTTGGTTGTTGTAGAAGGAGAATAAAGTGTTTGTTCAGCATCGCCATGTGTCTTCATCATTCGCACGCGAACGAAGTATACAACAGTTAACATCTTCAAAAAAAGGGAAAAAAACAGATCCAGGAAACTAGAGACCAATCAATCTAACATCAATATCTGGAAAGATACTGGAAAAAATAATCAGAAAAATACTGCAAAAAATAATAAAAAAACAGATCTGTGAACATTTAGAAAAAATAAAGTTATAAATAAATCTTATTTCATTCTTTGACAAAGTGACTAAATTAGTTTATTATACCTTAATGGTACTACATCTACATGGAGGGAAATAAGCAGTGGGGTACCCTAGTGAGACCACATCTGGAATACTGCAACCAATTTTGGTCACCATACTACAAAAAAGATGTTGAAACCTTGGAAAAAGTTCAGAGAAGAGCAACTAAGATGATCAAAGGCCTGGAGACTAAAACATACGAAGAATGGCTGCAGGACTTGGGTTTGGCTAGTCTAAAGAAAAGAAGAAATAGGGGTGACATGATAGCAGTATTCCAGTATCTGAGGGGATGCCACAAAGAAGAAGGGGTCAAATTATTCTCCAAAGCCCAAGAGGGCAGGACAAGAAACAATGGTTGGAAATTGATCAGCTCTATTCTAAGGTTCCATCTTAATCCCAATACTTCAATATTTTCATAAATGACTTAGATGAGATAATAGAAGGGGAATGCATCAAATTTGCAGATGACACTAAGCTGGCAGGGAAGACAAGCTCAGGATCCAAAAAGATATTGACAGACTAGAACAATGAGCCCTATTGGGGACATGATAGCAGTATTCCAGTATTTGAGAGGCTGTCATAAAGAGGAGGGGGTCAATTTATTTTCCAAAGCACCAGAAGGTAAGACAAGAAACAACGGATGGAAACTAATCTAGGAGAGAAGCAACCTGGAATTAAGGAGAAACTTCCTAACAGTGAGGACAATTAACCATTAGAACAGCTTGCCTTCAGATGTTATGGGTACTTCATCACTAGAGGTTTTTAAGAAGTGATTGGACAGCCACTTGTCTGAAATGGTATAGGGTCTCCTGCTTGAGCAGGGAGCTGGACTAGAAGACCTCCAAGGTCCCTTCCAGCTCTATTCTGATTGATTGATTGATTGATTGATTGAATGACTGTTGCAAAAAGTGTTTTATTACAGAGTTACATAGAAATGATAGTAATACAATAAATGTAATTAAAATGATATAAACTTTAAGAATTCAAGAAAAAACATAAGCAACAATTGATAAATCATGAAAACCATAAGATTGCAGGTACATATGAGTTACTAAAGTCATGTTAAAATATAGTGGTATGTTTCTGGTATAGCGATATAATTGGTTAATTTGTATGTAAAAATTGCATCTGACTAAGCCCAAGGAAGGAAGGAAAGCAGAAAGAGAGAATGCAAAACTTTATGGGAATTAGTTTATGGGAACATGATGAAGTACTATGAGAATAACTACGTGGTCATCAGGAGTTGAAAATAACTGGATGACAGATAATCAATCCTGAGAAGTTACAATGAAGAAAAAACTTGGGACAGCAGGAAATGTGTAGACCAAATTTTTGCTCTTTGCTAGATTACTGAGAAGTTTATAAATGTGAGAAAGTTTATTATTTTAGAGCTTCAATGGTATCTACTTTGTGACATTGGGTATTTTGCTCTGTAGTCCTAATGGACAGAGTTGCAAAATTGTTGTACTTTTTCAAAAACACGACATCCAGAAAATTATTTTGCTCATGGCATTTCTCCCAAAAGACAAATTTTCAGAGCACTAAATGTTAAGAAAATATTTTATATTCTATGTAAATTTTATGGGGTTTTGGCAACTCTCTAATTCAAAAATCTGAGAAATGAACTTCCATTGTTGTGCTACTTCCTGATTAGCTAAAGTTAATTAGAATCCATACCACATAAAACATAAAACCATGCTGCTAAGTATTTGCTAAAATTAGTGATCCATAGAAGTAAGCATGAGAGACTTTAAATTATCTTTAATGTTGAAACAGATTGGAGACTGCATTACTGTTGCAATAACTTCCCGAATTTAGACAAAAATGAAATATAAAAATAAATTTCATTAAAATCTGTTTTAAAAAGATGGACTAATGATAGAGGAAGAGGAAGATAGCACCAGTTTATTGCTTTCTTTTTTAAGTTTCATAGCATCAGATTCATTATTCATATTTATCCTGTGCTCAAATGTATTCAAACATATAAATGTATATATATGAATTACTAGTTCTAAAGTAAGAAAAAGTACTATATTTTCGGTGTACAAGAAAATAGTTTTCAGAAAAAATATTAATGCATTTTTCAGTAAATTAATCATGTTCAACAAACTCTATAAAGTAATATTTTGCTGCCAATGGTAAGTCCAATGAGTTATCATTATGCCTTTTAAGAAACCATGAGAATGGAAAGGCTGACAGCAGTTTATTGCAGATTCCATGGACTCTTTCCTCTTTCCAGCAGTATTTCCAGTAGTTTATAAACAACTGCACTGTACTTTTGGAAAAGGTAAAGGTTTGGGATGGATATTTTCTCCACTGCTTAGAATAAAAGTTGACAGAAGATACTTTCATCTGAACTTGTGTTTTATTTGGGGTTGGTCAATTCTTTCAATTTCTGCAGAAGCGCATATTGAAAAGCTGGCCATCACCCTCACCTCTCATGCAGATGCTACATACTGGAGCAGAAAAGGTTTTTCTCTTTCAGAACATTGAGATACCTTTATTAAAAAACACACTTTGATCTGCTGATGGAAGGAAGATGATCATCTGTAGTCATATAGTTCAGAAAAAGCCCTCATTATTGCTGACCAGTTTTTTGAAACTGCATTTAGCATAGAAATGATAGCATAGAAAGATTACAGGCAAAACAGCTTATTTTTCTATTATCACTTAATTTCTATTATATAAAGATATTATTGGAATATATCTCAATCTTTCTTAAGTTCCAAAGCAATGCTAAGTTAATCAGACACAAGAAAAAGTATCCATTAGACTGAAAATGTAAAGATAGAATTTGATAGGCACACTCAATTGAAGAAACAAAATACCTGGCATCAACATAGCTGTAGGAAACAATTTTTCTTGCATGATTTTACTTTCATGTAACAGCTCTTCTTTGGTGATTGGGAGATCTAGTGCATCGCAAATGATTTCTGCTCCTTCCAATGCTTTTTTACCCATTGCTAAGGATTTCACATCCCAGGTGTAGGTTTTCCCAAAACGACTGCAGATTTCTTGGAACACAACAGTATAAAGATGTTCAGTATCTGTGGAACAAAGAAAAGCAGAATTAAAATGATATTTTCAACCAAGTCAGTTAGATCGACAAATCAAAAGAGTTGAAATTATATCTAAATAATATTCTATTCTTTCAAATAGTATAGTATCTAAATGACTAAATGACCAATCAGAAAGAAGTGGACTATAGGCAGTCTCACTTAACAACACTAATTGGGACTGGAAATACCATAATTAAGCAATGAGATCACAAGTCAAATCCTGACTTTGCTAACTTGAAACATTCTAATATACTGTTTGAGTCTAAAACTTAAAGTACATCTTCCATTTTGTGTTCATCTAGTTATGTTTTCCATATGAACATCTTTTCTTTTCATATCCTAATCTATAAGCCCTAATTTACCATGTACAAATAAATATATATCATTGTATTTATTAAAGGAGTTTGTGGCCTGATTCCTGTTTTATAAACTATTCCTGCTGGACATGAGCCCTTGATTCCTGCTCATTTATTTAAGAGCATGAATAAGGACACTAACAGTTAAATTCTTAAGAGCATAGTGGGGATAATGCAACATTTTTTATAGTAGAATATTTTTCAAGAAAATACAGGTAGTAGCACATATTAAATAAGGAAGGAAGTAACAAGCTAGAATAATATTTATCATAATAAAATTGGTTTCAGACCAGAGTTTTCAGGGAGGACAGCATTTAAGGTTAGGGAGAAAATATCATTACCCAAAGAAAGATCTAAAGGGAAGACAAAACCTGAAGTCTATAAACTGAGCAGTGACCAAATATTTTTATCTTTTTCAACAAGGGAACTCTAATTTTTCACAACTCTAATTAAATTGGCTCCATCATCTGAACAACATCCTTAGAGATCTGGATATCTACCTCATAAGACCATATTTAAAAGTATAATGCAATGTATAGTTGCAATATAAAATTTTAAGACCTTATTGTTCAACTAAAACAATGTAAGTAAAAAAGAAATCTTAATTGGAAACAGAATGATAAATTTAGAACTGCTGATGACAAATGAAGAGGGAAATCTAGTATCCCAAGAATAATATATATTCTATACTAAAAATAATTTATTTTTCCAACTTATGAAAAGGACATTAGAAGTTGTTCAAAAGATACTACATAATATTGCTACTAGTATCACTAGATTTGCAACTAACTATATTAATATTATAATGCTGAAAATTATAATAAAGGAATTTAATAGCAAATAAGTTTTCCTTAGGCCACTTTCAAGAATATAAAGCTTAAGGTTAAGGATCAACCCTTTTCTTGAATTTGTTATTTTAAAATATAGACTTATGACTATAATGGAGGTTATCCATCATGCTCGTACGTTGTGATGATTGTACAATTTTATGACTTTTTTGTGTCAGTCATTAAGACAGGGTTGTCAAACTCAATTTCATTGAGGGCCGCATCAGCATTGTGGTTGCCATTGGGGGGAGCGGGGGGGTGGCTGGCATGGGCATGGCCTACTGGGTGGCGTGTCTAGCATGGGTGTGGCCTACTGGGTGGGTGTGGCCAGCTCAATGTCACTTGCATCAGGGGCACCTGTGCAGGCCTGGGCAAGACTGGGGCGGATCTGAGGGTCTCCAGCAGAAAGGAGGTAGGACCGGGGCAAGCGCCAGGGCATGGTCCACTGGAGGAGCCTCACTGAGCCTCAGGCTGTACACAGGGCCCCTGGATGGTGGCACGGACTGCCTGGAGCCCTGGGCAGCGAAGGTCGAGCGCCCAGCCCAGCCCTTGAGCTCCCCACAGCCCTGCACTTCCCTGAGGGGGCACCCAGCTGCGCTTACCACCTCAAGGCTGCTACTGCTGTGCTCACTCTCCTTGGCCAGGTTGCTCATGGTGGGTGTAGGAGGGCAAAGTGCCTGGGTCAGAGGGAGGCCGACTCCCTCTACATGAGAGGAGAACTGGCTTTGTAACCAAAGCATCCTCAGCAATAGCATGGGAGACCACCAGGGGATGGCGAAAGGGCAACAGGGCTGCTGGTGGCCAACTGCTAAGGCAGGACTTCCCTGACCCTCCCTCCCTCCCTCTTATTCCAATCTCCCTCCTTCCTTCCTTCCCTCCCTCCCCTCCTTCCCTGCCTCCCTTTCATTCCCATCTCCTTCCTTCCTTTTCTTTCTTCCTGTTTCCCTCCCCTCCTTCCTTTCTTCCCTCCCCCCTCTCTGTACCCAGGAAGGGACGAGAGGAGGGGGAGAGGTTGGCAGCGCTTCTCTCAAAGAATAAGAGAGTTGGAAGAGACCTTTGAGGTCTTTAATCCAAGCCCCTGCTCAAGACAATGGAATATCCAATCTCTACTTAAAAGCCTCCAGTGATGGAGCATCCACAACTTCTGAAGGCAAGCTTTTTCATTGGTTATTTGTTTTCACAAGTCCTTAGTTCTAGGCCAGTGTTTCTCAGCCTTGACAATTTTAAGGCATGTGGACTTCAACTCCCAGAATTCTACAGCCAGCATTGCTGGCTGTGGAATTCTGGGAGTTGAAGTCCACATGCCTTAAAATTGTCAAGGTTGAGAAACACTGTTCTAGGCTGATTTTCTTCTTGATTAGTTTCCATCTATTATTGCCTTCTGATGCTTTGGAAAATAGATTGACTCCTTCTTCTCTGTGGCAGCCCATCAAATATTGGAACACTGCTATCATGTCACCACCCCTAGTCCTTTTCACTAAGCTTGTTGTTGTTGTTAATTGTGAAGTCGTGTTCGAACCATCGCGACCCCATGGACAACGTTCCTCCAGGTCTTCCTGTCCTCTACCATTTTCTAGAGTCCATTTAAGTTAACACCTACTGCTTCAGTGACTCCATCCAGCCATCTCATTCTCTGTCATCCCCTTCTTCTATTGCCCTCAATCTTTCCCAGCGTTAGGCCCTTCTCCAGTGAGTCCTTCCTTCTTATTAGGTGGCCAAAGTATTTGTCACTAAGCTAGATATACCCAATTTGTCACTAAGCTAGACATACCCAATTCCCACAAACATTTGTCATATCAATCTTTGTTTACCATCCATTTAGACCAGATGGTCCCCCTGGTTTGGTTTATAGAACAGTGGCCACAAGCAGAGCCTTCTCAGAGACAGCACCCCAATTATAGAAATTTCTCCCAAGGAAAATATGAACAGTGCATCCCTCACCCATTTAGAGGCAACTCGAAACACACTGTTCAGCCAGGCATACAGTATGTCAAACAACAAAACATTTTATGGTCAAACAGCACTAAGTAAATTACTATTAATATTTTTCTTTTAGAATACACCCTTTTAATATTGTTTTAAGCAGTGCTGGTGATGCTTTACAATAGCTGTCTTTGAAAGTTTTCTTGAAAGCCACCGTGGATTTCTCAGAAACTTTTAATTTTGAATTAGATGTTGATTTAATAAATTAGGCAGAAGAAACAAATGTTTAAATACATCTAAATCCCACAGACCTACTGCCTCCTAGGCTCATACTACAGAGAAAATAAGGCATTGCATTTCTAGCCAGCATAGCCATAGGATGATGGGAACTGTGGTTCACGACACCCAAAAGATATTAGTTTGAGCAAGGCTGGATTAAATTATAAAAGAGCAGATGAGGGGAAGTAGGAGCAAGAAACACTTTCCACGTCTTCAATAAAATAATTGGGGGGAGGAGTTGACTCGGCCTTTTAACTTCAACTCACACCAATTCCTCTTAACTTCCCATTCAATCCAAAGAGTTCTATTATTGCCTGGATTTTAGGGAGGGGAGGAGGCAAGAATAGACCACAAAGCCAATCTATGAGTTTGCTCTATCGCCTGCCTGCATATCACCTTCCCCACGCAGCACGTGTGTATGTGTATGAGAGACAGAGAGAGAGAGATCCCCTTTTTTGTAAGTTTGCTTACTCCCCATTTTCCACACTTTCACTTCCCTGCTGGCTCAATCTCTCTCTCTCTCTCTCTCTCTCTCTCTCTCTCACACACACACACACACACACACACACACAGAGAGAGAGAGAGAGAGAGAGAGAGAGAGAGAGAGAGAGAGAGAGAAATCCAATTATATTTCATCTCTAGTTATCAACTATAGAAAACCCCATTTCTGCCTTCCCTGGATTCTGCCATACGGTGAAGGGAAGGGGGTGAACAAAGGGGCTTTATGGCCCTCACTTCCTTCAGTGTACTTCAAAGAGACTGAATGTGGATATCGCCAAAAGGACTAACCATAAGAAGGGGCGTTGTCTTAGCTGAACGCCTTTTCTCAGCATGATGATGTAGAATCCACCGGATGGGTTATTCCAGCCTTCCTAGGTCAGAACTTTGGCCACGCCTCCTTCAGGGTGTGCCTTCCCAGTTTTGACGAGGCGAAGCTTCACTGACGAAGTCCGGCACACTGGCTCCAATTATCCAGACACCTGCCTAGACTGCCTCACGGGAGGGTGTGGATTCTACATCATCATGCGGAGAAAAGGCGTTCAGGTAAGACAACGCCCCTTCTCCAGCATGATGAGTGTAGAATCCACCGGATGGGACATACCAAAGCCGCTCATGTCCCTAGGGGGGGGAGTCTAGGCCTGTGTCCCCTGAGAAGAAACAACCTGCTGTAGGACCCATCTGCCAAACGCAGCGTCCGCCGCTGCAAATCCATCCATCCTGTAATGTCTGACAAACACAGAAGGAGAAGACCATGTTGCTGCTCTGCAGATTTCCTCAATTGAAGCCTGTGTGTGCCAAGCAGCAGAAGCAGCAGCACTGCGAGTGGAATAGGCTGTAATGTGTGCAGGAACCGGAAGAGATTGAGACAGATAGGCCCTAGCAATGCATGCCCTTATCCACCTACCAATGGTCAAAGAAGAAACCTTCTGACCCATGGCAGAGGGTCAAAAAGACACAAACAATGCCCCTGACTTCCTAAAAACCGAGGTCCGCTTGATATAGTGATGCAGAGCCCTGCGTACGTCCAATTTATGCCACTGTCTTTCCCGACTATGAGAAGGATTTGGACAAAAATCAGGAAGAACTATTTCTTGGGACCTGT